AACCACCCATGTCCCCAGTCAAAATGACAGCAGACACTGTCAATTATGCCCCAGAGTAGTAAGGATATTACTCTGCCTAACTCTTGTCTTTTGAATAAGAGCTCTTTGGTCCGTTTCAGCACAAGAGGCCTTGAATGCAGTAGGGTGCCTGTACATTGTAGCTTCACCCAACAGGAAGATGGGGAAAGAACTGATAACTGAGAGTCCAGGATTCTGAGGCAGGGTGGGTGTGGCAGAGATTCCAGCCTTGGAAGGCTGAGTTGATGGAATCCCCAGAGCAAGCTAGTTCTGGGTTTGATTGATAGACCCTGGCTCAATAACTAAGGTAAAATAGTGACTAGGGAGGGTTCCTGACAGAACCTCAGGGCTTCACACGTGTAGAAATATTGCATGTGTACACACACAAACATTTATACAAACTCATGAAACACACACATGAAAACATGCATACAAATCCATGTAACAGAGAGAAAAAAATAGTAAAAGGGGATGGGGGGATATTAGTTTAGAAGTTTCATTGTCACATTCTCACACATTAAAAACCTAGAATTGTTACATGGCCACTGGTAACTTTGAAAGTAGTGACCAGGCAAAGTTGTGTCTTCTCAGGGTAAGAGTTTTTTCCTCCTTCACCCAACACACACTGAGCACAGCCCTGCAGGCTCCCCTCCCACAGGCAAGCACACTCAGTTCTCCCTTCTATCCTTCATCAATACTGTTGACATCTGGGGACAAGAAGGTCTCTGCCCACAGTCTGAAGAAGGCTGGCTGCGGGATGGAGGTGACTTTTGTGCTGGCTCCTGTGCAGAGCTCACCAGGGTTCTCTCCTCCCTAGCCCATGCCACTTTTCAACACCCCAAGCCACCTCCTGGACAAGTTCATCTATGACTTCCTCCAGCCCGACAAGGTCTTCATAGACCAGATCAAAACAGCTGTTGACATTGTCTGTTCCTTCCTTAAAGAGAAATGCTTCCGGAATTCTGGCACCAAAGTCCTGAAGACCGTCAAGGTGAGCGCTGGTCCTTCCCCATTCCTTTTCTTGGGTACCATGAAGACGAGGATGAAGGGAAGGAAACCTTCACTTCCCTTTCCTCCCTAGGGAGGATCCACTGCCAAAGGCACAGCCCTGAAGCAGGGATCAGATGCTGACATCGTAGTGTTCCTCAGCTCGCTGGAGAGTTATGACTCTCTAAAAATCAAGCGCTCCTGGTTTGTCCAGAAGATCCAGGAGCAGTTAGAAACCTACATGCAGCCCCTTGAGTTGGAGGTGAAGTTTGCGAAATCAAAATGGAAGGACCCCAGGGTGCTGAGTTTTACCTTGAAATCCAAGAGTCTCAATGAAAGTGTCGAGTTCGATGTCCTTCCTGCCTGTGATACACTAGGTAAGAGTGCCCAGACCCTAGCTCCTGAGAAGATTCTGGAAGGAGTGGAGGGCTCCTTCAAAAATCTGGAATGCTGAATAATGAGCCATAACTATCTACCAGTTCTAGCCCAGGCCCCTAGCAGGTGCATAGCTACAAAACATATACATGTGATTTCATTCTCATGAAAGCACCTCCAGATAGCCTCCAGGAGCTGTAGGCTCCATCTGCATGGTGTGTCAGGGATGGCACAGACAGAGTTAGATACGTATCATAGATAACGTCCCTTCATCTCCTTCATGGAGAAGAGAATAAAAGAATAGAGCGGGCTGAGGCTTTGTGAAACAAGAAACAGGAAATTGGTGTAGGCAACACTCCTCCTTAAAAATCCCGCTCACAGGTTAGAGCTACGGAGATATAGATGAATAAAAGGCCTCAGGGTAGGCTGAGGAGGTGGTTCTGTGCTGTGTTTGTCATTTGGTTGTGGAGATCTGAGTTGTATCCCTCAGCACCAATGTATAAAAACCCAGACTCTACTTCAGCCGATGGGGTGCATATGAAGGAAAGGTACGTGGAGGCAGAGGAGGTCTAGGCAAATCAGAAAGCCCTAGTTTCAGTGGGAGAAGCTGTCTCAATGGAAAAAGGTAAAGGATAACACAGCAGAACCCCACTTCAATGTCCTGCCTTGAGTTTCTGCCCTGGGCTCCCTTCATGATGGCCCTCCAAGATGGCTGGAGATCCGGAAGTGTAAACCAAACAAACCCTTTCCTCCTCTAAGTTGTCTTGTGAATATGGACATGTTTGCTTGTCTGTGCGTGTGTAAGAGGCTGTATTCAATGTGAGGACCACAGAGTAGAATGAAATTTGGGTTGGAACTGTAGCTCTGTGGCAGAGTACTTGCCTGTATGCTCAGGACCCTAACCCTAACACTCGGTTTCATCCCCCGACCCCCACCCCACTGTAAACACAAGCCAGCTGTCTCAATTTCTCTCAGAAAAAAAAAAACCAGGACTGTATAGAATGGGGGTCATTGTCCTTTTGTCTGTCTGTATGTATCTCTGTCTATGTGCTTTTGAAAGGGCAGCTGACCTGAATTGGCTTCTGTTGCTAAAACACTAAGCAAATCAACTTGGTTTGTTCATCTTACATGGGTTCCATCACGGAGGGAAGTCGGGGCTGGAACCTGGAGGTAGGAACTGAAGGAGAGGCCAGGGAGAGGTGCTGTTTACTGGTTTGCTCTCTCTAGATGGCTCACCCTGCTTTCTTAAACAACTCTACAACTCAGGACCACCTGAACAGGAGTGGCACCAACCATAGTAAATGGCCTAGACCTTTCTGCATCATTCATCAGTTAAGAAAATGCCCCACAGATGTGGCCAAAGACCAGTCTGAGGGAGGCAGTTCTTCAGTTGAGATTCCCTCTTCCCAGGTGTGTCTAGGTCTGTGTTGACAGAAAGCTCACTAATACAGCAACACAGTGAATATTTTCACCCTTGAAGGGCACAGTTTTCCCAACTCTGCCTTTTCAGTGTGAAAACAGCCGTGCACGAGAGATTCACAAATGGGGTCAACTCTGTCCCAATAAAACTTTATTCCACACACACACACACACACACACACACACACACACACACACACAGGAGACTAAAGACGACTCAGGGATAGAGTGCACAAGGTTGAGCTCAGACCTGACCAGAGTCTTTCTCCAATGGTGAGAACCTTCTAGATCTGGGTTCTGAATCCACTGGGAGCTTGAGATGGAGCCACTGAAGAGCTGAAAATTGGTCTTGTCTCAGTTATCTCAAATATAATCAGCCACAGTGGCCAGTGGCTGGCCTAGTGGGTATCACTGGGGTGTGTGTGCACTACTGTAAACCTACTGTGCCCTCCAGACATGCAGTCACCTACTGTCTGCCTCTTGGATAGCCATCAGTACTTCAAATACATGTACATGGTTTGAAGGAAATTACTCATTGAACTGAATCCCGCCCACAATGAAATTACATTTGTCACAAAAAAAAAAAAAAATAGGATTGTTTCAGTGGCCAAGGAGAGGGCTGGCTGTTCTTTGGAGGACCTAAGTTTGGTTCCCAGCACGAAATTCCAGGCACATCCTGTAACCCCAGCTCCAAGAGACCTGGTACCCTCTTTTGACCCTCAGTCACTTGAACTTACACAGCATGCACACAGGACACATGCACACACACACACACAGGCACACATGCATGCACACACACAAATGAAAATAAAGTTTGGAAACACTGGTTTTGAAAACTGTGGACATAGATTCATTGGTAGAGTGTCTCACATGCCCAAGATCTGGTTACAATTCCCTGTATTGCATAAATTGGGCATGGTGGTACACAGCTGTAATCTCAGCATTTGGAAGGTAGAGGCAGGAGGATCAGAAATTCAAGATCCTCCTTGGCTACAGAGCAAGTTCAATGTCATCTTGGGCTACATGACATCCTGTCCAAAAAAAAAAAACTCTGTCGCTTACCATATTCATGTGATCTAACTGACATTTTTCTCCCATGTTAGGTCAACTGCGGTCTGACTCCACCTCCAGGACTTCCATGACCAAAGCCTACAAGGATCTAATTGAGCTGTATGCATCACAGGACAACCCCAAAGGGGGAGAGTTCTCAATCTGTTTTACAGAACTACAGAGAAACTTCATTGAAAGCCGGCCCACCAAACTGAAGAGTCTGATCCGCCTGGTCAAGCGCTGGTACAAACAGGTGAGCCAGTCCCCTGCTCTGGCCAAATCTGGCTGTTGTTTGTAACCAGTAAACTGAGACACAGGTTTTGCCAAGTGTCCTGGACAACCAAATCCTCCCGTGTTAGGGGCTGGGCCTCTCTAGGGAACCTGCTTTTCAGTAAGTCATGGATCTTCTGATTGTCTTCTGCCATGATATCTGGGGGGTCAGACTTATTGGGCGTCCTAGAGCAAAGCAATCTGTGGTGATTTCTGACTTCATGCTGACCAAAGAATTTGGCTTCAACCAAGTTCTCTCCTGAGAGGCACGGATGGGGGTTAGTGCTGTGTGCCACAGGTTGCCAGTACGGCTGTGTACACACCATGATCTCTCTCACAAGGTAGAATGAGACTGTCCTCTGAAACTAGAGTCACCATGGATATCTGAGGGCTAGTAGGGTAGGGATCTCTGGCTTGACTTTCAGCAAGTCATGTGACTTTCTCAATTCCCCACCTGTCTTCCTCTGATATGGCAATCCATGTTGCAGAACCCATAACTAGCATACAGAGGGTCCCATCAGCCAGCAGTCACATAGCCCAAACGCAGAGCTAGCAGACCCTACCTAGAACTCAGGGTCTCCCTTTTCCAAGTTTTACGTCATTACCCAGTTGCCCTCACTGCAATCCAGGCAAATTAGGAGACATACTGGGCTCCTCTGCCTCGTCAACGTCATCTGACCTCCCCACTCTCCCCACTAGTATGAAATGAAGATGAAGCCAAAAGTATCTTTGCCCCCAAAGTACGCCCTGGAGCTGCTCACCGTGTATGCCTGGGAGCAGGGCAGTGGAATAGATGACTTTGACTCTGCTGAAGGCTTCCGGACCGTCCTGGACTTGGTCATAAAATACCGGCAGCTCTGCATCTTCTGGACAGTCAATTACAACTTCGAAGAGGAGTACATGAGGTTGTTCCTACTGACCCAGATCCAGAAAAAGAGGTGCCTACTCTCCCTCCCCCGTTCTGAATTAACCCGATTCCCTTCCATGACCTAGATTCTTCTCCCCGTTGGGTCGGGGTCGCGTTCATTCCCAGCGTGAAACTGAGAGGAGAAAACCCAACCTCGGCAGTGGGAGGAGCTTGCCAACCAGGAAGGATGCCGAAGCAGGCGGCCGGCAGAGGGCGCTCGCATTGCTTTCCTTGCGGAGATGTGTTTGTGCTAGACCATCCAGAGAGAGGTCTGAGATGGCAGGATATCCCTGAGAAATCCCGCTGCCGTCCCCAGCCCCACCCCACCCCCGTGCACGCAAGCATGCGTACACCACAGCAAGTCAAAGGACAACTTTCTAGCGTCAGTTCTCTCCTCCCACCACGTGAGTCTAAGAGGAGCAAACTCTAGTAGGTCGTCGATTTGACAGCAAGCTCCTTTACCCTTTATCCAGCCCCTGCCATTAGCATCTAGTCAGATCTGGTTTTATCGTTCAGAACGAAAAGAATAAAGCCAGGCAGGCTGGTACCTACCACAGTCCCAGCATTTCCAAGGCTGAAAGGTGGAAGAGTTGGTTGTTGTTTTGCTTTGTTTTGTTACTTATTCATTCGTTCGTTCGTTTAAGACAGGGTCTCTTTACATAGCCAGCTACCCTGAAACTCACTATGTAGACTAGGACAATCTCCAACGCAGAGAGATCCGCCTGCCTCTGCCTCCTGAGTGCTGGGATTAAAGGCGTGCACCACCGCACCCGGGCAGGAAGATCTTAAATTAGACGATAGGCTTGTCCACATAGCAAACTGTCCTCCCAAAATTATTTAAATAAAGGGAGGGTCCTCAGAGTGTACACTCGATACCATGAGCAAGAAACAAAGGTGGAGGAAGTAAGGGAAGAGGGGAAGAAAACAAAACAGCGAAGGGAAGAAACAAGAGCATTAAGATCAGGAACGCTGGGCTTTCCTGCGCACTCGCACTCGTTCCCCAGCCTATCTTCCAGCCACCACGTTCCCCCACCCAGCAACGTTGCAACTTAGCAACTACTTAGCAACATTGCCTTGTGTGGCCCCTTCTAGTTGAGCAAGAGTCTCTAGAAAGAGGTCGTCACTGTATACTTTGTACAGCTTTGGAGGGGGATGGGGAGCGGTGTTCTTCAAATGTAATTCTAGGAAGTAACTTTGTCTCTTAAGTAGTTTCAAATTGTTTGACCAAGGCTGCCAGGATACATTCTTTCAATGATGCAAATAGTGCCAATCTTGAAAGCCAAGGGTCTTGACAACCCTTTCCCACTGTCTAACCTCTCCTTTAGGCCTGTGATCCTGGATCCAGCAGATCCCACGGGCGACGTGGGAGGAGGTGACCGCTGGTGTTGGCATCTTCTAGCTGAAGAAGCAAAGGAGTGGCTGTCTTCTCCCTGCTTCCAAGTGGGGAAAAAAGGCCCTGTACAGCCATGGAATGTGCTAGTAAGAGCCTGCTAAAGAACTCGAGTGGCCCCATTACAGATTCCAATCAAAGGCTTTCTTAGTGTAGTAGTTTGGAATTGCTGAGGCCCCAAAGAACCAAAACTGGACTCCAGGAATTCAGTCAGTCACGAAAGAGAGAAAGAGAGAAAGAGAGAAAGAGAGAAAGAGAGAAAGAGAGAGAGAGAGAGAGAGAGAGAGAGAGAGAGAGAGAGAGAGAGAGAGAGACTCCCTTCCAGGTACCTAGAGATTCAGAGACAAATGACATGGTGGTATCTAGTCTCTCCAGGAGGGATCTTGTGACAGTACCAAGGCTTTTTGTCCTTTGTTTAGGCAGTGCCTTGCTCCCATTCTGTGCCTCCGTGGCAGAACCACCCATGTCCCCAGTCAAAATGACAGCAGACACTGTCAATTAT